CCTTCTGGAGTGGCCCAGTCAGAGTCCTGACCTCAACCCGATTGAAATGCTGTGGCATGACCTTAAGAGAGCGATTCACACCAGACATCCCAAGAATATTGCTACACTGAAACAGTTTTGTGAAGAGGAGTGGTCCAAAATGACTCCAGATCATTGTGCAGGTCTGATCTGCAACTACAGGAAACGTTTGGTTGAGGTTATTGCTGCCAAAGGAGGGTCAACCAGTTATTAAGTCCAAAGGTTCACATACTTTTTCCTCCCTGCACTCTGAATGTTTACATGTTATGTGCAATTAAACCATGGCAACATCTAATGTTTGTGTAGTATTATGTTCAGCAGTTTGTGTTCTTCTATTGTTGTTACTTAGATGACGTTCAGAGCACATTTTATGCCCAATTCATGCAAAACTCCACGTAATCCCAAGGGGTTCACATACTTTTTCTTGCAACTGTAGCGTTGCTAACACTAATGTTTAAGGACTCATTCACATGACAAAATCTACCATAGTGTGGCAGGTATTCCATGGATATATGGGGCCGGGAGCACATAGAAGTCAAGGAAGAAGAAGCCTGTACAAGTCAATGATAGGCTGACAGAAGCTGTGGCTGTCCACCACTGAAAGCATGTGTAAGGGAATCCCGGTGAGATGATGATTAGCAAATAGAAATGCGCATGTGCATAGAAATGTCCAGAGAAGAGTGATCGGTCGTGCGCATGCACACAGAAATGCGCGATTGCGCACATGCACAAGCACGGTGAAGATTGGTGCCAGACTGACTATTTAAAGGGTACCTCAGCCTATGCTAAGTGCTGACTGGTCTTCAGCTGTTCCCCTTTTCCTGCTCGTTCCTGTGTGATTTCCTTGTTGCTGACCCGGGTTGTTCCTGACCTGACTCTTGTTTACTCTCCCGTTTGATACTCGTTCCTGACCTCGGCTCTGCTCCTGACTTTGGCTTGCTTATGATTTGGTACCTTGCTGTCCGCCCATTGATGACGCCAGCTATTCCTATGACATTGCTCCTGTCTCCCATCCCAGCTTCCTGCCCTGCTCTGTTGCATGCCTGGCAATCTACCATACCAGCTCTGCATATCGCTACTGTTCCTGAATCGGTGGTCCATCTGTCTTTTAAGGACTCCAGCTGCAAGTGCTGCAAATAACATCTGCTAGCACTCTTGCCCCCCTGGTCCCTAGACACCCTCTGTTCCACTTCCAGTGGGGTCAGGGCTAGTGACACAAGTGAGGCCGACCTCGTCATTTCAGTCTCCAATCAGGTACGTGGCAGTATGTATCCGCACATAAAGCAGTTACATGCACTTAGGGACATATGATTAGAATTGGACAAAATCTCTCTACGTCCACATACAACTTCTGTCCCTGTCAGCCTGTCAGGCTTTTTGGTCCTGGCTGTCTGCAAACATCTGGGCACTCAGCCCCAACTACCTGCAGTATACTTGCCATACCATGGCCAATTTGGCTGTGTGTATGAGGCCCAGTAGAAATAAACTTGCATTGTCATCCAACATCAGGCCTAGTCCTTATCAACCTTTATAATGGCTTCTATTGTGACATCACAGGAGAGATACAGAGAGGAGCTACATCAATCTATGCATGCATGCTGAGCTATGGAACTAACACACACTAGGATTTTGATTTGTGGTATTATTTCAATAAACTAGTCCTATTAGTATGTCTGTGCTAAAAATTTGGGATTCTTTGAGTGCCTCAACACTCAGGACAGAGAAAGAGGTGTCAGCACAAGGGACACATTCTACTGACTTTAGGTTTGTCCCTTGTGCTGTTTTTTTTGTTTGTAATATTTGCAACACTTAGACTTTAAATGATAAGTTCACCTTTTGGACAAAAATAATAAATGCACATTTTTTTTCAGGTAAAAAAATGTGCATTTATTATTTTTGTCCAAAGGAGCCTGGAAAGCATTTCACCAGCGATCAGTAAATCGCTGATGCCATGCAGGTCTCCTGCAGACCTGTCAGAATATGTGCTTGCTGTATGGGATGTAAGGTCAAGCAGATATTCTGATAGGAAGCTTCAATGAATTACCACAGCGATCCTCCTGTCAGAGGGAGGTGGGGTGGTGGGCATGGCTGCGGCTACGGAGTAAGCAGGGGCGGACTGACAACTCATGGGGCCCCCCGGGCAATAGAGGATCATGGGGCCCCTATGTCCTTGCCCAAACTCAAAAAAGCCTATGAAAAAGGTACCAGGGGAATCTCATGGGGCCCCCTACTGACCCCGGGCCCTCGGGCAGTGCCGAGTTTCCAAATGGTCAGTCCGCCCCTGGGAGCAAGTTACATATTCCATCCTGAAAATGGGAGGAACATGTAACATGTTCCAAAGGTGAGCTTATCCTTTAAAACTGAACTCTGTGATAAGCAAATACTGTCCAAATACTTAATCACTAATCTTGGTGTGCTTTGTGTATTTCTTCCAAATCTATTCGATAATTGAACATCAAATGCTGCATTACTGCTTTATGCATGTCTTCCTGTAATAAAAAACTGTCACTGCAACTCTCTCAAGTTATTCACTTGTCTTGTATCTGCCTCCACCGGTTGTTTTCTGCAGACAGCCTGTAGTGGGAGACCCTGGAGGGTCCCTCCCACAGCTCTGCTCTCTTCATAGATTACATACAGCACAGTAATGATGTCACTGTTACAAAGTAATATCTGGGTTAGCAAAGACATTTGGTGCACAAAAAGGTGGATTTTTATCCCTTTAAATCTGTTGAGAAATATATAAAAAAAAAGGTTTTGTGTCTGGAGTTCATCCTTAAGAAGAGTATATATGGGTAATCCCACACATAGTCTGAGGTTCCAAAAAAACCTTATTTATCCATACAAAGTCAAACAGCTGAAAGCCTGCATCCGCCAATATGTTTCAACCCTAAAAAAAGGTCTTACTAATTGTGTTTTTAGGGTTGAAACATGTTATTGATAGCTTTTAGCTATATATGCCTTATGGATTAATACATTGTTTGGGACCTTTGACTGTGTGCGGGATCATCCATTAATGCTCTATACAGGGCTTAAAATTTCAAGTCCTGAGCTACTTGCCAGACCTTAAGAGTTACTCGCCACCAACAAACACACACAAACAGAGACACCTGTACACACACACACACACACACACACACACACACAGACATGTACATACACAAACACACACAGAAACATGTACACACATGCACAGAGACACATGTACATACACACACACATACAGACACATGTAAACACACACATGCATGTACAGACACACATACACACTGATACATGTACATACACAGAAATACACACGCACAGACACATGTACAGTTGCAAGAAAAAGTATGTGAACCCCTTGGGATTACGTGGAGTTTTGCATGAATTGGGCATAAAATGTGCTCTGAACGTCATCTAAGTCACAACAATAGAAGAACACAGTCTGCTGAACATAATACTACACAAACATTAGATGTTGCCATGGTTTAATTGCACATAACATGTAAACATTCACAGTGCAGGGAGGAAAAAGTGTGTGAACCTTTGGACTTAATAACTGGTTGACCCTCCTTTGGCAGCAATAACCTCAACCAAACGTTTCCTGTAGTTGCAGATCAGACCTGCACAACGATCTGGAGTAATTTTGGACCACTCACTCCTCTTCACAAAACTGTTTCAGTATAGCAATATTCTTGGGATGTCTGGTGTGAATCGCTCTCTTAAGGTCATGCCACAGCATTTCAATCGGGTTGAGGTCAGGACTCTGACAGGGCCACTCCAGAAGGCGTATTCTGTGCTGTTGCAGCCATTGTTTTGTTGAATTACTTGTATGCTTTGGGTCATTGTCCTGTTGCATCACCCATCCTCTGCGGAGCTTCAGTTGGCGGACAGATGGTCGTACGTTTTCCTGCAAAATGTCTTAATAAACTCTGGAATTCATTTTCCCATCAATGACAACAATCCGTCCAGGCCCTGAGGCAGCAAAGCAGCCCCAAACCATGATGCTTCCTCCGCCATGTTTTACAGTGGGGATGAGGTTTTGATGTTGGTGTGCTGTGCCTTTTTTTCTCCACACATAGTGTTGTGTGTTTCTTCCCAAACAACTCAATCTTGGTTTCATTTGTCCACAGTATATTTTGCCAGTAGTGGTGTGGAACATCCAGGTGCTCTTTTGCAAACTTCAAACGTGCTGCAATATTCTTTTTGGACAGCAATGGCTTCCTCCGTGGTGTCCTCCCATGTACTCCATTCTTGTTTAATGTTTTCCTTATTGTAGATGTGTCAACAAAAATGTTAGCATGTGCCAGAGATTTCTGTAGGTCTTTAGCTGACACTCTGGGATTCTTCTTTACCTCATGCAGCATTCTGCGCTGTGCTCTTGCAGTCATTTTTACAGGACGACCATGCCTAGGGAGAGTAGCAACAGTGCTAAACTTTCTCCATTTGTAGACAGTCTGTCTTACCGTGGACACATGAACATCAAGGCTTTTAGAGATACTTTTGTAACCCTTTCCAGCTTCATGCAAGTCAACAATTCTTGATCGTAGGTCTTCTGAGAGCTCTTTTCTGCAAGGCATGGTTCACATCAGACAGTGCTTCTTGAAACCAGTAAACCCAAAACAGGTGTGTGTTTTTTAAGGGCAGGACAGCTGTCAGCAACACATCCAATATCATCACACTGATTGGAGTCAAGGTTGGCTCACTCCTGGCTCCAATTAGCTCTGGGAGAAGTCATTAAGCTAGGGCTTCACATACTTTTTCCTCCCTGCACTGTGAATGTTTACATGTTATGTGCAATTAAACCATGGCAACATCTAATGTTTGTGTAGTATTATGTTCAGCAGACTGTGTTCTTCTATTGTTGTGACTTAGATGACGTTCAGAGCACATTTTATGCCCAATTCATGCAAAACTCCACGTAATCCCAAGGGGTTCACATACGTTTTCTTGCAACTGTACATACACACAGACACATGTACTGTACATACATACACAGACACATGTACACACAGACACATGTACGTACATACACACACACATATACATACACACACACACATGTACACACACACATACATGTACATACACGCAGACACATGTACAGATACACACATGTACATACACACAGACACATGTACGTACATACACACACACATATACATGCACACACACACACATGTACACACACACATACATGTACATACACGCAGACACATGTACAGATACACACATGTACATACACACAGACACATGTACATGCATACACAGACACACACACACACACACACACACACGCTGTTAAGTGCTCTCTGCTCTCCCTTGAAGCCACCACTGGCTGACATAGAGGATCATGTGACCAGAGTGAGCTGAAATTAGGTAGGCGCGCACACACTCACACACACACATACACACACAAACACAGCCCTATAAAAAGTTGCAGTACTTCGTCGTTCACTCACAAAGCCGGGTACTGAACTCTAGGTGGAGGCAGAGAGCACAGCGCACACTCCTTCCTTTGCTTTCACTGCGCTCAGCTATTGAGCAGTTTGACGGCTCCCAGTGCCAATGACAGATCTGGCCTGAGCTCTGAGCCTGCTCAGCAAGACAGCCCTGGGGGACACACTCGTCCCCACCATAACTTCCACTCGCCATTGGCATGCAGGCGAGTGGAAATTTCAAGGCCTGCTCTATAGCCTTTCCCAGCACTAGTGCTCTCCCTCAGAACTGAGGTCAATGGTGGTGGAGCAGATATACTTTTTTTGTATATCCATCTTTAAGAAGAACCTTTGCTGCTACTCATAACAATCATTTTTTATAGTTGCTATGCTTTTACTCATTTCATACAGCAGATTTTAAAATTCATGCGCACACCAATTCAACAATTTACAGACATACACAATCGGTCCAGGCAGCAGTTTTGGATACTGTGTGATATACAGTAGGTATGGCTGCACAGATTCTTTCAGATTTAGATGGCTTTAGGAGGGCATTCTGTACTGGTGTAAAAATGATGAAGAAGTTATAATTGCAGCTAGGTCCCTACTTTTAACAAGATGCACTCATTAACTCCAAAATGGCATAATCATTAATGCTAACATACCCATTGCACAGCTCTACAATGGTACAACAATATTTGCTTCGCTTATCTTTGTTTATATGGTGTCAATGTATTCTACACAGGTCAGCGAACCATTTACATCAGTTCCCACCCATGCGGAATCTGCAGTTTAGTGTTCCCACAACAGATACACACACTGACTGCCATCAGTTCTTGAAAAAGCCAATTACCTATACAGTATGATTTTGTTAGAGGAAACTAAACAATTTAAAGAAACGAACACAGATTTTATGTAGATACTGCTGCCCTCTCAATTCAAAACAGGCAAGATAAATTATATAGAAAAACGCATGTTGGTTCAAAATCAAGTAAAATCCTCTTCCGATATCTCTAAACATTCTTCTTTACTGAATCTTACATCATGCAGCTTTAAAGTCTACAAAGTACTAGTATATTGTATGTTTTAATGCTTATAATGTGTTATCCTCCTAGTGTTAATCATGAAAGAGTCATTTTAAGTTTCCCTTTAAGCAGAAAGTACACATAACTTCCAGCCAAAATCTACAGCCAGAGGTTTTCTCTCTAGCCAAAATAAATAAAGCTTTTTGGCAGACTGCTACTGCTGTGCTTAGCTGTTTGTTTCAGATTTTAATTGTAACATTCTCAGTGATGTAAACGAAGCCACAGTGATTGTTTGGTAGCTAATGAATACCTAAAAAGCGAAGTAAAACTTGTATAATAGATACATTTGTAGAAAATGAACATCATTTAAATGTTTTGTTTATTAGTGAAAAAACCGAAATCTGCTTTTTATGTCCTCATGCATACAAGGCCTAAAAAATGCCTTTTTTTTAACAAACGTTTGGCGTTTTTTTTTTTTTTTTTAAGTCTGTAGAAGCCCCTCTATGTTCATGCACATATAGATGTTTACAGGCATATTAGAAGAGAAGCGTCTACAGGCTGAAAAACATTCTGAAGAGGAGCTTTTGAGCAGAAAGAAGCTTGACACGCATGAATAAATGTATCTAAAAGCTGAGCGCATTCAGAGCATTTGAGTGTTAGTGCATTCCAATAGCCAGAATAAATTAATATTTTGGCCAATGGAAACAAACATTAATGCTCAAACGCTTGACGTGCCTAAACGCATGTGCAATACGCAGCTTTGGGCCCATTTTTTAACCACTTCCTGTCCAGACACTTTTACCCCCTTCCTGTCCAGGGCAATTTTCAGCTTTCAGTGCAATCAAACTTTGAATGACAATTGCGTGGTCATGCAACACTGTACCCATATGAATTTTTTACCATTTTTTTTGAGACAGATAAAGCTTTATTTTGGTGGTATTTATTCACCGCTGGGATTTTTATTTTTTGCTATGTAAAAAAAAAATAAGCCACATTAGTTTATAACCAAAAATTATAATTTTTAAACATATTTTTTACATTTTTTTATTTTTTTATATTATTGTTTTGTTTTGTTTTTTTCTTACATACTGTCACCCTAGCAGGACAGTGTCACAATGGTGACACTGTACTACTTGTGGGGGGTCATGAAGATTTTTTTTTTTTTTTTACAGTGATTGCTTTTACACCCATATAGGATGTAAAAGCAATCATTTCTCTTTCTCTCTGTCTGCATTCTTGCAGCCATTGAGAACTACTGAGTGAGCTGTGATTGGTCACAGCTTGTCACATGGTATAAGGCTGTTGTGAATAGCCTTGTACCATGTGACCTTTGTGATCATTCACAGATTTCACACATAGTAAGCAATGATGTCACAAGTGACATCTTGCTTACTACTTTGCATGTGATCACTGATTGGCCAATCAGTGATCACATGATCGGGACCTCGTACAGAGGTCCCATCTGACGATCTGTGTTTCACTGTGTCCGGAGGACACAGCGGGCATCGGATCATGGTGCTGCTTGCTCCCAGGGAGCGCGCACAGCTAGAAATGGCGGGTGCCGTTTATGAACGGCAACCCGCCCCTGGAGTGCCACCGTCCTGCCGTTTAAAAACAGCAGGCGGACGGCAAGTGGTTAAGCAGCATTTTTCTTGCCATTTCTGGTGTTCAGAGGAAAAAAGCAAATGCCACTGAGGCCTTACTAGAAGCCAAAAGGTGAATTTCTTCACAGTTAGGGCTTGTTAACAATAGTGTTAGCCCTCTGAGGAGTGACTTCGGAGGGTGTTTGACACGTGGTAAGGAGGTGTGACCCATATTAAAAATGACAGGTGCCGCTCAAAGCTCCACCTGGTCCTCTTGCATGACAAACTGCTAGGAGTGCTGACAAGAGCAGAGCTTGTCCCAGCTCAAAACATCCAGTAGGGAAAAGAAGTCCTGAAAGTAGCAGATAACAGCAAAACCCTGTGAGGAAGTGTATGCAGCCTCAACCCGGGCTTCAACCAAGTCACTCCCCAACATATTTCACTATTTCACCCTGGAGCTTAATCATGGGGTCTGGGGGGGGCAAAGGGAAAAGTGTTGGGGGTGGGTGGCCTGGTTGGATTCCAGGCTGAAGCTGTCATACACTTACTCACAGGGTTTTGCTGTGATGTGTGACTTTCAGGATTCCCTTTCCCTACCAGGTGGTGAGGAGGGGTTATGTCACCTCCTCACTGCCTGTGTTAACCCCTAAAACCTGCACCATCATGCAATGTATGCGGTTGCGGGGCGTTTGCATAATGGCCCCATTCAGTTGAATGGATTGCGTTTGGCAAGTGATTTTGACATGCCGCAAAGTATCAGGGCTGCAGTATGTGTACATCTCGATCTACTGCCTCTGCAGCTTAAGAGGGAGCAGTTGGGAGCTCCTAACCGCAAGTGTAAATGAGGCCTTAGTTGCAATAACAGAGTAAAGGTGTCCTTAGTCCATATTGTAGTCTAAATTGTAGATTCAGTAAAGGTTTATAAGACCTTATGTTATGTAAAATAAAATGAATAGGGACCAAAATTAGCATTGGTATCTGTAGCGAAGGGCAGAAATCTTATTTTTTGTGTGTGTGTTTTTTGTTGAAATCAAATGTGTAGTGCAGTCAGTTTGACTACTTAATTAACCTATGAGTTCTCCCTGGAGCTAGTAGGAGATCCCCACAGGGGCGCAGACAGCACAGTGTCCTTGAAAAAGCCAGATGTGCAGGCACCAGGTGCTTAAGGCTTGGCTGAATGCAAAGGACAATTATGCTGGCAGAAAGGGTCAGGCTTTTTCTGAGTTTCCTTCTGTGATGGACACACAGGAGCTTAAGGCTGCATACTTCCTAGAAGGAGGTTAGAAGATACACAGAACTGCTGAAATAGGTAATTCAGTATGGGCTGTGCTTTGCTTTCTGAACTGCTGGGACTTGTAGTTCCATATTGTCTATGCAGCTTCCTGGACACTGGGACTCTGCTCTCTTCTCTGCTTTTCCTGTAACTGCTGTCTGTGTGGTCTGGATGCTGCGGCCAGGAAACACAGCCCTCTGAGGACCCATAATGTGCCTATGAAGGACCTCTGCTTGCCAGACCTCCTTTTCCCTGCCACTCTGCCTGGACTTCCTCAGCTGCGGCCGTCGTTGATTGGTGAGTCCCTGAACCTGTGCTGTATCTATTGCTGCTCATCCCCCATTGTGCCTGGATTGTGGTCCTGGACTCTGGACTAAGTGTCTGCTGTATCAAATTGCTGCCCTGTGTGCTAGCCTGTACCCTTGATGTGCCATACCCTGCTGCCCAAATCCCTGCCCTGTGCTTTTCTCAACCCACTTGTCTGCCCTGATCGGTGCCTTATGCTGGACTCAATCCCTTGTCTACCCAGATTCCCGCCCTGTGCTGGATTCAAACCCTTGTTTGCTTCCCATATTGTCATCCTGAGGACTATATCACTTGTTTGTCATCCCATATTGCTATCCTGTGGACTATATCACTTGTTTGATGTCCCATATTGCTGTCCTGTGGACTATATCACTTGTTTGATGTCCCATATTGCTGTCCTGTGGAACATTCTCCTTTGCTGTGTCTTTTGGCTGCCCTGTTGACTATCTTCCTTGTTTGCCATCCCATATTGCCATCCTGTGGACTATCTCCCTTGCTTGTTATTCCATATTGCCATCCTGTGGACTATTTCCCTTGTTTTCCATCCCATATTGCCATCCTGTCGACTATCTCCCTTGCTTGTTATCCCATATTGCCATCCTGTGGACTATCTCCCTTGTTTGCCATCCCATTTTGCCATCCTGTGGACTATCTCCCTTGTTTGCCATCCCATTTTGCCATCCTGTGGACTATCTCCCTTGTTTGCCATCCCATTTTGCCATCCTGTGGACTATCTCCCTTGTTTGCCATCCCATTTTGCCATCCTGTGGACTATCTCCCTTGTTTGCCAACCCATTTGCCATCCTGTGGACTATCTCCCTTGTTTGCCATTCCATCCCATCCTGTGGACTATCTCCCTTGTTTGCCATTCCATATCGCCATCCTGTGGACTATCTCCCTTGTTTGCCTTCCCATATTGCCATCCTGTGGACTATCGCCCTTGTTTGCCATCCCATATCGCCATCCTGTGGACTATCTCCCTTGTTTGCCATCCCATATTGCCGTCCTGTGGACTATCTCCCTTGTTTGCTGCCCCATATTTCTGTCCTGATAAACACTCTCCCTTGCTTGC